TATATTATTCTACTAAAGATGGAGCACTGTGATTCACCATAATTACAACAAATGCCATAAAAATAACTGGCAACCTCACAGATACTAAGAAAGGAAGGCTGGCCTACCGACGTAATGCAAGAATCACAATTAGTGATCGGAAATATTCGTCCATTGTGACACATTATATCGATGGGAAAAGGGGCCAATACTTTTTTGGGGAGAGTGTACATTATTCTTTGTTTTATTTTTTAGTACATTTTTTTCATTAAAGTAAATACAGCTAAAATTGTCCAGGATATCTTACGTTGCATCAGCCGATATCAAAGCCATAAGTCATGTGAAAACGTTAAACAAGAGTTATTCGTATGTCCTCCATACTGTACTGAAACATTTTAAATTTTAGCTAAATTTCAGTTTCACTCACTTGTAGTTACTTTTTTTTTTTAATTAACAACTCCCTGAATACGAATTCGCAACTTTCGATTTACAACAGGTACCTACTTTACTGCTAGGTGAACAGGGACTAATGGGGGCTAGGAAGTAAGTCCAAACAACTTCCACCAGCCCGGAAGTTGTTTGACATACTTCCTAGCCCCCATTAGTCCCTGTTCACCTAGCAGTAAAGTAGGTACCTGTTGTAAATCGAAAGTTGCGAATTCGTATTCAGGGACAAGTTGTTGGAGCTTCCAATAACTTGATGACATAAACCATTGACTCAGGCTTCTACGCCCTTGACTCTTCAGGCTTCTACGCCCTAACTCATGAGACAGGCAAGCATGAACTTAGCATGCTTCCTATTGGTCGCTGTTAACGCTTCTGCGCTCACCTTACACAGGATGTAGGGGTGCCCAATGAAAAAAAAAAAAAAAAAAATTGCTTTAATTATGTTTTGAATATTTGCCATAAAGGTGATTCTTACAAATGCCAATTTCATAAAAATAAAATCTTATTCATTCAGCTAAATTTGGCAGGGTTTAACTTGCCCAGTTCATGTCTGGACAGCTAAATTTACCAATTCATGACCTGTATAATTTCACAAATGGGTAGTAACTTGCACGACAATTTCATTTACTAAATATTCTGTATATGTATGCACTAGATCTAAAAAGAATTGACGCCTCTTCACCGTACTGTGATTGTAGCCTCATACTATAACTACCATATGGTAAAGACAGCGTCTCAGGCCATACTCACCGGACGGTGGAAATAGTCACTACGAAAAAAAATAATGCAATGAAAAAATAGTATAGTTAATCATTTAAACTTAAATTTTCTGTGTATAGCTTTTGTTATATAGAAAACGAATTACTTGTGGTGTCACTAAAACAACAAGGATTCACACCAACTTTGGGGAAAACTTTAAAACATTATTTTTGCGTCCAAACAGCACCAGTGAAAGCACTAGGCCTATTAAGCATTCCACTGTATTGATCATATGTACACATCACTTCACTAACACCTACAGATGTTGTACGTTTTGACGCCTCTATTCAAATAATAGCTAAGAAGTAGCACTATCAATTTTACTTTTACCTCTATCCTTATCGCCACTGATATGCTCGACAGCCGCTTGGGCAGTCGGTCACGTCTTTGTTACGCACTGTTGACAAGTACGGGCATGAACTGGCGCCTGAATATATCTTAACCTGCTCCAGTGTTGGTCAAGTCTGGTCTTGAAAGAGCTCACACTCGGTGCCGTCACAACACTCTCTGGCAGATTGTTCCACGAGTTCACTACGAAATAGTTTGCCCTCACTGTTTTCTAGATTTGTGGTTTCCCGAAATCCCACGTGAACCCTGGTATTCTGCGCATATACCACCTCTCCAGGATCGCCCACTGGTCCCCAGGTAGGGTCGTCCTCTACACTGATGGCTCTGTTGACCCCGCTACAGGTAGGGCCGGGGCTGGTGTCTACATCTCCCGTCCTGGTGCCCCTGAGCTTATCAAACTCTCTCTCAGAGTTTCTGACGGAGCATCTTCCACTCATGCCGAGCTGATAGCCCTCCTTGATGGCCTCCTCGCTGAGGAGGAGGCCAGTGGTTTCTGTCCCTTGCTTGTCTGCTGCGATTCCAGGTCTGCTCTCGACGGGATCGCATTTGGATCAGGGGAGAATAAGGACCTCATCCTCCGAATACGAGGGTTAACATCAACACTTCAGGATGCAGGCCGTCCTGTGACATTACTGTGGATACCAATTCATGTCGGTATCTTGAGGAATGAGGCAGTAGATGGTTCCAAGACTGGCTGCTCAGGCCACACCTGACTACGTTGTTCCTCGAACACTTTTACAACTTAGGACCCAAATTCGCCGCAAACAGAGAGAAGCTCGGGAAGAAGCCATCCCCCTGGACTCCCCGCCCACCTAGTACAATGTCCCCAGTAAACTCCCTGACCTCTCGTACGTCTATAAGAAGGGTCGCGGAAAAGGGACGTGATTGCTGCCCTTATTATCATCGGGTATGACTTTGCTTTGGAGATTGGTATCCTCGCCTCCCCTGGCCAACGCGCTTGTGCATTATGCAGAAGACCCGACCGCCGCACCCTTGTCCACTACCTCCTAAGATATCCCCACACACAACGCATCCGTGACGCTTGTTGACCACTACTCCACGACCCCCTGACGGAGACACGATGATCCTCCCCACACTGGCCAGATTTTATGTAAATAATATTAATGATGTGTTGAAGGAATATCCTTCCTTCCTTAGGCTTTAGTAAGCCCCTTTATAATATTTATATATACTTGTGTCACTTGCCAGATGCTTCTGGTGTTATTGTACAGGGTACCTAGTGACAGCATAAGGATCCCGGTTCCTCTATCAAGCAATAAACTATTGAAATTGAAATTGAATTGAGCTGCAGAATTACTAATGAACGAGTTGACTTGTTGGCTTAGGGGTACACAAGGCTCAACCAACTGTGTATATTACTGGTTTAGATACATTCATAGTCTATTCAGGTGTAACAAGAATTTCTCATTAAAACAAACTATTTCCGTAAATACCATACAGTTTAAAATGACAAACTTTGATTATTTTTTTACATCTTCATAATAATAACTCATAAAAAGTGCAGCTAGTGTACACAAGACAAAGATGGGGAAGACAGTGAAGGTTATAATGAGACTCAAGATCACAATGCTGTGTTTTTATTGACATGCAAAGCGTGGAGCCCCAAGTAAGAGCTGGCGAAAGTGAGATGCTAGAGCGTGACGGGCGGGCAGGCAGACTAAACAGTGATACAGTTTATTGAAAGCTTTAGAGTTCTAATTTAGAATAGATATACATTGTACCCTTTAAGCAGTTAATACCTGGAAGAGAACGTAACTCGGAAAAGTGAAAAGAATCAGGCGGCTGTTATATGTGTGACTCTGTGGTTGCTTTTAACACAAGGTTATTATTTTTCCGATTCTGCCAAAGATTCACTTCATGACTGCAGCCTTTCCCTGGCTAACTGCTGATATACTGTAAGTCAAAGAAACGATAGAATATGACTTAAGATAATTAAAATTTTATGCTAATTAAGAAAACTACGAAAGAGATGCTAATAGCAACAATGACCTAAGATTTTCGAGTTGACTTGATGTTCGTTAAAGAAATTTAGGCAAAGTGTCAGTATCCGTAACCCGGAATGTCGAGGCTGAGTGGCTGGCTGGCTACCACGGCCTGGTTGGACGAGGAGTCATCCAGGTCCGAAGTCAAAATCCTCTTCAGAACCTGAGGATTGCTCCAGGTTCTTCCCTTCTGGTCGATTGTTCCTCCTGGATGTGTTGGACTGACCCCTGAGAGCTTGTGGCAGGAACTGGGGCAGGGGTGGGCGGTAGGGCGGGGGCACCGGAATGCGCTGAGGGCGTGGCACCTGGCTGGGCCTGGACAGCATATCAAAAAGAAACATTTTCATCTTTGACTCTAAATAATTGTTTTTCTTGGTCTACTAGATGTCAAATCCGCAGTGACACATGTAACTTAGATAACTTTTACTTTGTAGCTGTTTAAGTCTTGTTTAATTACAGAGTTACCTCAAGATAATTATAGTTCAGAATCAACTTCATTCTGTTGAAGTTTGTTTTCATATAAGACGACTCATTTTATCATCGATTTCTACCAAACTTTAAATTAAATTAATTATACAATTGACGTTATAAAGAATTAATCAGGGCTTTATATGTATATTTTGATCAAACGTAATATGACAAGTTAATTGGGTTATTCTGGATATAGGTAGTGGGAAGAGAAGGAAGAGGATGGGGGAGATGAGCCAGTACCCACCTGCCTGGGCGGACAGGGAAGGCGCGGTAGCCGTTCTCGTCAGCGATGTACTCCATGATGATCAGCTCCCCGTTAGGCGCCGTGTACCTGATGGCGCAGAAGAATGTTTAATGACCCAATTGCTGCTGACACTGCTGTTAAATTAACACAGGATAAATTGAGACAAATCAGAACATAACATTAAACCAGTTTAACCCTCTGGGAACACGTTGAGTGGAGGGAAAATTACCCGAAAAAGTAATCCTGGTGCGGGATTTAGTTATGGAGGAGGAGAGATAATAGGGGTAAGGACTGAGGACTAGCGTATCAACGTGTCTTGTAACCTGTCTCTCTATATACAATACTTAACCCATGTGAGGACGACTAAAGCGAACGTGATGGAAATCTGTTGTAAAAAGATGTTAAACAGAATCAGATCTTGAAAGCCACTTCACTCGAGAGGAATTTCACCCAAGAAGAATGTTGCAGACGAAATCTTGGGCCGTGAGAGGGACGATCTTAGCTATAAATCAAACATGTAAGACTATCACAATCGTAATAAACTTTGCTAGTTCCTCCACGTGTAGTTACTGTAACGCTAGAGTTTTCAGATCAAAAGTAGAAACATTTTGAGCTTGATTAGATAAGCAGCTCATAAAGCTCCCTGGTTGCTGGGAGCATCACCTCACCAGGGGAGGATCCTTCACCTCACATGGCCCAGGTGGCAGCGTGTGTACCCCAGGGGAACTTACGAATAGGATCCGGTGACTGGTGAGAGGACTGGTGAGCCTGGCACCCTCCTCCCTCAGGATACCGTTGCCAGTAGAGTACCTGGCGGGCGATAACAATGCAACTTTTTGATGTCTAGATAATTTTTGGCTTAGAAAATTAATCTAAATTATTGTACAAAGTGAAGAATTATTATATTTTTACTGTTGTTAGGATTTTTAAGAATTATTGAGTATCATTAAAATATAAAAGCCACCGAAACAATCGGGTGAGTGAGTATAGTGTAACACCTACGTGAAGTAGTAGGTGCCGTCCTGGAAGGGGCCGTCACGATTATCTTCGAGGATGGGTATGGAAGGCCGCCCTATCCTCTGGCCTTGCGGCTGTGATGGTGATTCCTGAAGACGTGTCCTAGTTTGCAGAAGCTGTGCTTCATTCTGCAGAAGCTGTGCCTGCTCCAACTGTGTCTGAGTCTGCAGAATCTGTGCTCGCTGGAGCTGTGCCTGCCGTTGACGGAGAGCCTCTTCCTGACGGCGTAACAGCCTCAAGCGAGCGAGTTCCTGCTGTCTCCTTCGCTCTTGTTGCCGGCGAGCTTCTTCCCGCAGTCGAAGAGCTTGTTGCTGCTGACGGATTCTGCAACTGTTGTTCAAATGTTTGCAGCTGAGGAAGGGCAGCTTTTCCGAGGGAAGTTTGACCTATTAAAAGAGGATCTTGTAACGCGAGGCGTTGATCTTGCTGTAAGCCCAGAGTATCCTGGACTGATAGAGATCCCTGCAATAATGGCCGCTGTTGTAGCGACAGTGAACCTTGTTGTAGAAGAAGGGGATCTTGCAGTAAAAGTGAGTCTTGCTGAGCTAGTGACAGCTGTTGCTGCGCTAGAGGCTGTTGCTGCTGTGTCACCAAAGGCTGCGTCAGGAAGGACTGCTGTGCGTGCACAGCTGCCACCAAACACAGGCAGAAACCCTAAAGAGAAAGGTAGGATGGCATTAATACAAGACATCTGACCTGAGTGGCGACGGAGGGAACACTCAAACACGCGTCCTCCTCCCCATGACCGACCTTGACGCCGTATATTTCGCGCACACACACACACACACACACACACACAGGACGAGAGGGGGAGGGGAAGATTATAGTCACAACCACCACGACCCTCCAACTCACGCGATACTTCAGGCTTCCCTGCTACGTTAAGGGTCACTTGGGAGCTGTGTCTCGAGGGAGGGGGACTGGGGATTGTGGTGGTAACGTGGCTGATGAGACGACAACAGCGAAACCGTAACACGAGAAAGATCTGAAACGGTTGATGTTTTGGCAGGATGTAAGGTTACTTAGTTTATGTAATATGTTTTAGTGAGTCCGACAACCAATGGGTGCAGAAAAAGACACAAATTTACTCATATCTATACTGTTCTCTGGGGGCTGTAGCCATCATCTATGTACCACGTCCCAGAGGAGTCATGAGCCGAAAACCAGACAATTTAACAATTTGGGGCTGCCTTATTCCCTATGAAATGGTCAAAATATAAAATCAGATCTTTTTCTATCATTCTTTAAACCCTGTACCAAGGTAACATTATAATAAGCTTCATGTATATTGGTTTTCATTACAGCAAAACAATAGACTGAAACCTTCAATATGTATAATCTTACATTTCAAAAATTATTGTATGAGGTCTATAGGAAATATATATTTGCCGCCTTCCATAATGATTTAAGGCCGAGTAGCTTGGTGGAAAAGCTTGTAGGTGTGGGTAGATAAGGGTGTGGGTAAGTGATTGTATGGGTTCCTTTATGGTGTTTAGAACGAATAGATTTATATGTCTATCTTAGGTGTGGATTTGTGTAAGATGGTAGAAGTGAGTAGCTGTGAGGTAAATGAGTATGGATGGTGAGGATGATTGAAGTACCCAAGTGAGAGGCAGGTGATAACACTACTCACCTTATTCTCACAGTCAAATTACCCACCAAACAGCCTGAAGCAAGTGGATTTACTGTTTGTGTAAGCGTCTGATGAGAGGGAGAACCTCAACCCTACGGCATGAGTCGCAATGTTAACACCCCTCTCCCCAACACAAACACGCACTTCAAGAATAGCCAAGGTAATATTTTTGAGACTGACTGTGTCATTAGATCACATTTTGAAGTGGGTGACTTTGTTCTCATGGACCCAACAACGGTGTTATTTAACAGAGTAAATTCATAATTATTCAAGCAACATGATAGAGAAAAGATTATATTTCTTGTCAAAAAGACCCACTGTTGAAAGTAGGGTCCTTCCTCCTGTAGTGTAACTGTAGGTCGTAAGGATGTGTAGATTATACTCAACTCTCATATTACCAGTACCAATTGCTAGCTGCGTACCTAAGTGGCAAACTAACTTCCATTTCCCTGAATTTGTCGTAGTAATTATCTGTTGGAATTGTTTGACCTACAGTACTTCCTGTTCTTTGGTTCCACTCAGGGAACGTAATATTGTTGCTCTAAATACAATCTGACGGTGGCAGCCAAGAGGATGCCTTCCCTTCCTCCTCCCTCTTCACAATGGCGTTGCGAATTTACCTATATCCGGGGCCCTGGAGCTCCCCCAAGTTGTTACCAGCTCAACAAACTCTAGGGTGGGTGAAAGCTAACTTGAAACTTGTTAGAGAATAGAAGAGTTCCCTTCCCATCTATTACAGTATAGTAGGTGGATGGAAAGTTTGTCTCCTAACTCCTGTTTAAGACTGTTGCTGTCACTCTGGTAACTGAGGAACTCTAGACCAGTTGCCACCATGGGGCCGACAGTTTCACTTCATAACACTGTCAGTATTAAACGATGCCTGGACACTGCCAACTATCCTAAGCTCAATATCGTTCTTTTCCTAAGACAATTATTTGTGTAGTTTTATTATTAAGTGAAATTTTAACAATTTCCCATCTGTGTCAGGGTCGATTAACACAAGATCACCGGACATAGAAAACACTCACAAAATGTCTATGTCCGAACACTTGCATCTCATGTATTAGAAATTCCTAGATATAATGTTTTACGTTCTTAAACTCATTACCGAAGTATGACATATCATACAATTATTTATTATATTGATGTGTGGTGAATGTTTAAATCTTAAATGGAAACAATTATACAACGTTAAGTGATTTTTAAGTTGGTCTCTGAATAAAACCCTTGCTAGCTAATCCAGATATATAGATACAGGCTCGTCATTTGTATGTAAGTATAGATTATGTGACATTTATTCCAAAGGGCATCTATAAGAGGATGACCACAATATTCAGAACGATAAACGAACAAACTTTGCACACTTCCCATGTCTCGGAAAGGAGAAATTCTACATGAGGCGTCACCCATTTTGTCAGAGGGACCCGCTGCTCTTAGCTCCTCCGCTTCAGACAGTGTCAGGACTTACCAGCCTCAACATGACGACGGGGCTGCTGCTACACAGGAGTGTCTGACAACGTCCGACCTGAAAGTCACTCAGACGTTAAACTCGACACTTCACAAATACAGGAGGAGGAGCTCAGCTGAAACAGGAGGACCCGGCTGACGCTACGGCTCGACTACAGAGTCTGGGACCAGAGTAAAGGGAGATCTGCCCAACCGCTCCTAATATACCCCACACGAGTAGGCCATCACCAAGGTCAGCCTCTCACAAACCCAAGTGACTATACCGGATGTGTTATCACAGAGTCGTCTATACTTGGTTCTGTATGCTGAAACTCCCTGACCATTAGATCCAAGAACTATATCTCGATTACAGTGTTCAAGCTGAAGTTTATATGGAGAAAAATGTCAAGAAAATTATCCGAATTGTGATGATCATTATTTTGTGTGTACCTCTAAGAGATCATGAATGTAAAGGAAGAGGTAGAGAGGACAGTGGATATGAGTGATGGATCAGGGTGCCAGTTGAGGTCATCTTGTTTATTACACCTCGACTGATAGACACGACGACAAGCAAACTGTGGGTGTACGTACAGCTCCGCCCTCACACACACACCACACACACACACACACACACACACAGGAGGCGCTCGTGTTGACTGTGTTATACTGTTACACTAGAATAACATCCATGAATATCTCCGTGACACGTGACTATCAACACCCCCATCTCCGTGACACATGACTATCAACACCTTCATCTCCGTGACACATGACTATCAACACCCCCATCTCCGTGACACATGACTATCAACACCTTCATCTCCGTGACACATGACTATCAACGCCTTCATCTCTGTGACACATGACTATCAACACCTTCATCTTCGTGACACATGACTATCAACACCCCCATCTCCGTGACACATGACTATCAACACCCCCATCTCCGTGACACATGACTATCAACACCTCATCTCTGTGACACATGACTATCAACACCTTCATCAACGTGACACATGACTATCAACACCCCCATCTCCGTGACACATGACTATATCAACATCTTCACTTCCATGACTCATAGTCCATCGAAATATCTCCCATAATCAACACCGTCAGTCGTACATGTTCCAAGGTAGGAGCTACACGCCTCTCCTCGTACCCAACCGAAGATGGATGGACAGTAACACACGAATAATCTCAACATAAAGGAATGACACACCACCAGCTCCCCGACCTGACCTAACCTAACCTAACCTAACCTAACCTAACCTAACCTGGAGGATGACAATGTTAAACAGACCTAAAATGAGAGAGAAAAAAATACTATATTATATTTTTTTCTTTTATGATTGACACACACAGGTAAACACAGGACCCCTTCAGGTGTAGTCTAGCTATATATTAAGTTACAGTAGAGATTTATCAAGATATAAACTTTCTAATATATTACGTTATGTATATCACTTTATGTATCACTAGACTGAAAAAAAAATGCAGGAGTAGGTCTTAAAAAAATTACACCAAACAAGACAGTCAGTTAACGCTCTGTCTTATAACCTGGTATGTGTTTGAGTATGGTGAACTGGCAGTCAACATAGACAACAAACACCACCATGCTGCCCCCATCCTCTCAACACAAACGTCTCTATTCTTCTATAATTATAAACAACATAATCATATATCACCTTAGTACGAACCTTCCCTGGGACTGTACTTTATAAATTTTCTCTTCATTAAAACATCTATAACTAGTTCTGTTACTCATAGTGAAGATGAATTGGTGAAGGTTATTAAGATAGCAGTAGGAAGCTCCTTGGAATCTTTTACCGATGTGAGTTTTTGACAATGGAGAATATCTTCTAATTCATATTTACTCATGTTTATTTTTATATGTAGGGGAAACTATCGACGATACGGTGACCACTGGGTGTGAAGAGGTTATGGTGGGGGTGATCAAGTATTGTTGGGACCAGAACTAGACACAGAGGCAAGTCAACACAGGTGAAGACACAGACGGAGGCACAGCACTACAGGAGGACAATTACTCTTGACGTCTTAGTGTCCATCTTGGCGGTATTCGGATGGGAGAGTCATCATCAAATACCCCCCCTTAGAACGACGAGTATATCCCGTATATCCCCGGTCATTGTAACACAAGAGCTAGTATATATATATAGAGGAAATATATTATCCTCCTTGATCATAAATTTTATACCTGATACCTGCCCGCCTATCACCTGCGTCGTGAGGAAGTATCAATTTTTTTGAGTCTTACAAACAGAGAGACAGAACAAAATCACACTCTCAAATTTCAAACACAGTAATTGGGGGTCACTATTTAGTTTGTGTGTGTGTGTCGCTCGAAGTGTTTAGTTGTTAGTACTGTACTGTAGTAATGTTGGTTAGTGAGATATTTGTCTTTTAAGTGCGAACTATGGCGTTGTATTTATGAGATGATAGTTGTTTCTCTCTCTTTCTCTCTCTCTCTTTCTCTCTCTCTCTTTCTCTCTCTCTCTCTCTCTTTCTCTTTCATTTATAACCACAAACCACACAATTGCACCACGTCGACGCTGCTTCACTCAAAAGCATTATCGCGCGAATTCGAATTTTTTTAGTCTCACGTTCAGAATTAAAAAGCGGAGGTTGCAGGTTGGCGGACCCTCAACAATAGAGGAGAGTGTTAGTGCCTGTCAAATCAAGATCCGTGTGTTGACGTTTTCCTCTGACAACTCCCGTCATCCCCAAGGCTTTAATATTCGCATAATTATTTCTCATTTTAGTTTAAGTTCCACCTTGAACTCCTTTATAGACGGATGTTTTGCTTAACACGTTATTTTCTAGTTTATATGAGTCAGTATTGTTTTGATTCGGGTTCATTCTTAAGGCGGATATTTGCTTCATGGATTAGATTCGAGTCGTCTCATTCAGGGTGTTGTTCAGATTGGGTTCCTGCTGTATGATATTTTAGATGGAATAAAGGAAAAACAAGAAAAAAAAGAAAAACGGGAGAAAAGAAAGTAGGGAAAGGTAGATAGAAAGGAATGGGTGAAAATTGTGACTGGAATTTGTTATTGAATATTTGTTTTAATATCAAGTTGAAATTAACATCTTCTTCCAACCACATTTCCTTCACTTACCCATGATCTAACATCCCAGGCAGGACACAAGGGGTGGTGTCAAGGAGGGTCACCAGGCAGGACACAAGGGGGTGGTGTCAAGGAAGGTCACCAGGCAGGACACAAGGGGTGGTGTCAGGAAGGTCACCAGGCAGGACACAGGGGTGGTGTCAAGGAATACCAGGCAGGACACAAGGGGTGGTGTCAGGGAAGGTCACCAGGCAGGACAAGGGGTGGTGAACGCAGGACACAAGGGGTGGCAGAAGGTCCCAGGCAGGACACAAGGGGTGGTGTCAGGAAGGTCGGGGACACAAGGGGTGGTGTCAGGGAAGGTCACCAGGCAGGACACAAGGGGTGGTGTCAAGGAAGGTCACCAGGCAGAACACAAGGGGTGGTGTCCAGGAAGGTCACCAGGCAGGACGGGGTGGTAGAGTCACACAGGACACAAGGGGTGGTGTCAGGAAGGTCAGGCAGGACACAAGGGTGGTGTCAGGGAAGGTCACCAGGCAGACGGGGTGGTTGGGAAGGTACCAGGCAGGACACAAGGGGTGGTGTCAGGGAAGGTCACCAGGCAGGACACAAGGGGGTGGTGTCAAGGAAGGTCACCAGGCAGGACACAAAGGGGTGGTGTCAGGGAAGGTCACCAGGCAGGACACAAGGGGTGGTGTCAAGGAAGTCACCAGGCAGGACACAAAGGGGTGGTGTCAAGGAAGGTCACCAGGCAGACACAAGGGGTGGTGTCAGGAAGGTCACCAGGCAGGACACAAGGGGGTGGTGTCAGGGAAGGTCACCAGGCAGGACACAAGGTGGTGTCAGAAGGTCACCAGGCAGAACACAAGGGGTGGTGTCAGGGAAGGTCACCAGGCAGGACACAAGTGGTGTCAGGGAAGGTCACCAGGCAGGACACAAGGGGGTGGTGTCGGGAAGGTCACCAGGCAGGACACAAAGGGTGGTGTCAGGGAAGGTCACCAGGCAGAACACAAGGGGGTGGTGTCAAGGAAGGTCACCAGGCAGGACACAAGGGGTGGTGTCAGGAAGGTCACCAGGCATCTATAGAACCAACATACATTAAAGAACCAGATCTGATAATGAAAACCGTATAATGATAAAGATAATTAACCCAACACCACCTACCCTAGTATAATAAAAGGTGATACGGGAGATGATTTTTTCACTAGTAATACATTTTAATATACACGGTAAGAGGTTCTAGCTGACCAGACAAGAGCTCAGAGTTGTCCACAGCCCAGCACCTCCTCACCGTCAGGGGGATTTCGATCGCTGGTCTAATTAGTAGGTGCTGGTTGCTACACATCACTCCCTCCTTCTCATCAATATATTACTGGGGATGGTGCAGGAGGTACGGGATGGTCATAACCTTCATCCTCCTGTACTCTGATGACCACCTGAGAATGTCACTATAGGCCAATCAATGCAGTCATTCCCTTGCCGCGGCCAGACCTCAATACCAGCATTATTTTTAATTTCATCTCCGGGAGCTTTTTATACGGCCGTCAGGATAAATATTAAGAGTAATAAATTTTATCCTTCATATATATCAAAGTTAAATTAATGAATTGGTATCGTTTTATATATCCAAAGTTTATAACTATTTGGTAGTTTAAATGGACGTGAAAATTCGCTGGCGCGTCACTGTATAATTTACCGAAACTCTGTGACCATCTTTTAATTTACCATACGTGTTACGAAGTTAATATTTGTTATGTTGATATTTTTTTTCTCACTGGTAAATAAAATTGGCGTTAGAATAACCTCATGACGAGCGACTATTGTTGTCACCGTTAACTAGAAGAAATATTCTTTATAATAATTTAGCTTTACGAATAGACAACCGCCCCCCTCTCCAAAAACAATAACCTTTTGTAGTCGTTATGTTCTCCTCTAACACCTCTCAAAATCACCCTCCAACACCCTACAAGGTAATACTTCAAGATCCCTTTTCGACTTCGTTCATGTTTACGCTAGCTAAGATCAACCTTCAACACCCTTCAAGGTTACCCTCCAAACTTGCCATGATCACACTATCCAAGGCTACACATTA